TCCTGGTACATGGCTCAGTGGTGCACTCCTGTAATCCTAGAGACTCAGGAGGCTGAGGCAGGAGGATGGCAAGTTTGAGGCCAGCCTAGCAATTTATCAAAACCCTGTCTCAAAAAACAAAACAAAAAAAAAAAAAGAAGAAGAAGAAGAAGGTAGGGATATAGTTAAGTTGTAGAGTACCTTAGAGTACCTTAGTTTCGATCCCCAGAACAGGAAAAAATAAAAAATAAGACCTCTAGATATTGCCAAGTATCCTCTAAGGAAAGGGACAAAAATCACCTTTGGTTGAGAACCTATGGACTAGAGCAAGAAGGTGAAAGAAGTATTCAAGAAGGAATTTAGCAAGCTATACACAGTGATACAGGCCTGTAATCCCACTAACCTAGAAGGTTGAGACAAGAGGATTGCAAGTTCTAGGCCAGTTTCAGCAACTTAGTGAGATCCTCTCTCAAAATAAAAAACAAAAAGGGCTGAGAAGCTGGGCATGGAGGCATGTAATCCCAGAAGCTTGGGAGACTGAGGCAGGAGGATCTCAAGTTCAAAGCTAGCCTCAGCAAAAGCGAGGCACTAAGCAATTCAGTGAGACCCTGTCTCTAAATAAAATACAAAGTAGGTCTGGGGATGTAGGTCAGTGGTCAAGTGCTCCTGTGTTCAATCCCTGGTACCAAAAAAAAAAAAAAAAGATTAAAAGTATAGTAAATAAATAAACCAGTAACATAATTTTTTATTATCAAGTATTTGGTTCTGTACATAATTATATGTGCTGTACTCTCATATGACTGGCAGCAGAGAAGGTTTATTTACCAGCACCATAACAAACCAGTGAATAATGCATTGGACATGATATTACAACTGCTACAATGTCACCAGGCACAGGAATTTTTCACTTCCATTATAAACTGAGAGGACCACTGTCATATATGGGCTTTGTTACTGAAATAAAATGTAGTTATGTAGCACATTACTTTATATTTCACGTGTTGTACACCATTACTACTAGATAATCTCAGAACATTTCCATCACCCCCCAAAAACCCCTGTGCATACTGGCTGTTAGTCTCACTCCTGTCCCCACACTTATCCACTGAAAATTCTTATCTATTTTCTTTATCTATGGATTTGAAATTTCACATAATAGGATGCAGCTTTTTGCATCTGGCTTCTTTCACTTGGCAAGTTTTCAAAGTTTATTCATATTGTATACCATGCGACAATATCTCTTCCTCTTCCTCCTCCTCCTCCTTTTTTACTGGGATTGAACCCATGAATGCTCTACAACTGAACTACATCCCCAGCTCTTTTTTTTAAAAAAAAAAAACAGGGTCTCACTTAGTTTCCCAGGCTAGCCTTGAACCCCTGCCTCAGCCTCCCGAGTAACCAAAATTATAGGCATGTATCACAGCGCCCAGTAATTTCACTCTTTTCTATGACTAAATAATATACCATGGGCTGGGGGTATGGCTCATTGGTAGAGCACTTGCCTAGAATGTATGAGGCCCTGGGTTTGATCCTCAGCACCACATAAAAATAAATAAATAAAATAAAGATATTGTGTCCAACTACTTCTAAAAAGTAAATATTTAAAAATAAACAATATTTTTAGTTCATTCATCAGCTGATGGACATTTGAGTTGTTTCCACTTTCTGGCTATTATAAACAATGCTGCTACAAACATTAATGTAAAAGTTTTTGTGTCGACATATGTTCTCAATTTTCTTCACTATAAACTTAGGAGCAGAATTGCTAGGTCAGATGATAATTTTGGTTTTGATTTTTTAAGGAACTGCCAAACTGTACCAGTTTACATTCCCACCAACAGTAAACCAGAGTTCCAATTTCTCCACATCCCTAACAACATTTGTTATTTTCTGCTTTAAAAAAAAATTATTATTATAGCCATCCTGGTACATTTGAAGTACAATTTCATTGTGCTATTGATTCTCATATCATTATGTTGAGCATCTTTCTATATATTTATTGATAATCCCCTTTATTCTCACTCAGTAATTCCAAAACTCCCCAGTGGTTGTATGAAACCAGAAATAGCACTACATGAAACATATATTTTTTTTCCTATACATACATATCAATGATAATGTTTTTAAATTAAGCACAGTAAGAGATTAACAATAACAGGAAAATTATATCAATATATTGTGATAAAATTTTTTAATTTTAAAATGATGTAAGACAAAGGGATGGGGCTGTAGCTCAGCAACAGAGCGCTTGCGTAGCATGTGTGAGGCACTGGGTTCGATCCTCAGCATCACATTAAAAAAAGTAAACAAATAAAATAAAGCATTCTGTCCATCTACAGAATAACTTTTTAAAATAATTTTATATTTTAAATTTATAACTTATAATTTATAATTTATAACTTATAATTTATATTTATAATAAATATTATATTTATAATTTATAACTTTTTAAAATAATTCTGAAATTATTTCAAAATAAAAAAATAGAACTTTGTACTATTTGAATTATTGTACTTCAAAGTGCTATATCTTAAATGTTAGACATTTATTGTAAAGTGGTGACAATTTTTTGCCATTTTTCTCTGAATCAGTACCAGTTTAGTATGACACAATAAAAACAATTTCTTGATGCTTTAAAAAAAACTTATAAAAACTTTCAAACATGCAAAAATAAAATAATGAACCCCTTGTACTCACTACCCAATTTTAACAATTATCCTCCCCATATTTGTGGTGTTTATTTATTTTCTGGTCTTTTTCCCCCCTCTGGAAGAAAATCTCAGATAAGCAATTTCATGATTAAAAGTTTTCTTTAAATGAATTAATCATTTTAATACCTAATAAAATTAACAATTCCTAAATATCATTGAATTCCCAGTTCTTTAAATTTTGGTCATTGTCTCAAAGTTGGTTTGTTTGAATCAAGATCATATGGTACATATTCAATTATGTGTCTTACAACAGTCCATAAGAGTCCAGGTACTCCCCCTCTGGTTTTCTTCTGTTGGACAAATTAGGTTATCTGTCTTGTGGAAGCTGATTCCTTCTTTTTGGTGTCTGGGGTTTTTTAAAAATTTTGTTTCATGGTGCTTAGGATTGAACACAGGGCCTCATGCATTGCTAGGCAAACACTGTACCACTGAGGTACATCCCTAGCCCTGGTGTTTGTTTCTTTTAACTTATTTTTCAAGTCCCTATATTTCCTGTAAACTGTTGGTGAGATCTAAGACTTTCTTAGCTTTGATATCAAGAATACTTAATAGGAACACTTGTAATCCCAGTTACTCTGTAGACTGAGTCAGGAAAATCTCAAGGTGGAGGCAAGCTTGGGCAACTTGAGAAGAAAGTGTCTCAAGAAAAACAGTGGGGGTGGGTGGATACTGGGGATGTAGCTCAGTGTTAGAGCTTCCCTGAGTTCCACCTGCCATAAAAACAAAACAACCAACCCTTCATAGGAGGCCCTGTAGTAGATGTAGTAGAAAATACATCATATCATGAGATATTTCATAACTGGTCGTCTTATCTCTCCCCTCCCCCCAACCCCACACTACAGGAGATTGAACCCAAGAGGTTCTACCTCTGACCTCTAAGAGTTGCATTCCCAGCCTTTTTAATTTTATTTTAAGCCAGGTTAACTTTGAACTTGCCATCCTCCTGCCTCAGCCTCCTGACTGGCTGGGACTACAGTTGCACCATCACATCTAAATGATGATCTCACTTTTAATGGTGCTAAGACTGATCAGAGATTTAAAAGGATCAGCTTAATTCCCTTATAATAAAGTTCACCATCTTTCTTTTTAAATAGATGTCATATATATGTATCAACAACAGACACAGTCAAATGTTGACATCCTGTCCAGGGGTAGAAATCTTCACAATAATGTTCCATTATCCTAACATAGAACTATAGTTGAAGGTCCAGGTCAGCCCTGTTATTGCAAAGCATTATGGGGGGAAAAGGAGGTTTTTAAAAGAGGAAACTAATGTTTTTAAATTGCATTACACAAGTAAAGCTCAAAATCATTTCATAAATTATGACTGGGAGCTAAGCACATAGTTTGGGAGGTCTTGATTATGAAGCTTTAAAGAAATATCTAGGGGGCTAGGTTTGTAGCTCAGTGGTAGAGCACTTGACTAGCACATGTGAGGCACTGGGTTCCATACTCAGCACCACATAAAAATAAATAAATAAAATAAAGGTATCGTGTCCCTCTACAACTAAAAATATTTTGAAAAAGAAAGAAAGAAATATCTAAGTTGCAAGAGACTATTTGAGAGCTGGGGGTGTAGTTGAGTGTCAGAGTGCTTGCCTAGCAATTGCAAGGCTCTGGGTTTTATCCCAGGCCCGCAAAAATAAATAAGTAAATAAATAAATAAATAAGGTAAATCAGGAACTAAGCATTATAACAAATAAAATTGATTAGGAAGGACTGGAGGAAGAAAGAATGAGACAAGAAACTGTGACTGATAACCCCATTAGTGCATATATTTCTTCGACAGCATTACAAAGGGCAAATGATGAAGAAAAGTAATAGCTGAAAACATCCAAAAATAAAACCTATTAATTAGATACATTATCTACATATATATAAAATTAACAATTCCTAAATATCATTGAATTCCAAGTTCTTTAAATTTTGGTCATTGTCTCAAAGTTGGTTTATTTGAATCAAGATCAAATGGTACATATTTAATATACATAACATTTTTTTCCATTTTTTTCTATTCTCTTATATCAGTATCCACGTGGACAACATTCAAAGGAACTGAGGTCAATAAAAGCTGATGACTGAAAATCTTCAATGGGGTGGAGGCGTTAGAGCCAAGGCTGGAGTTTGGAGGTCAGCGCTGGGGAGGCGGTTCCAAAGCGCCCAGGCTAGGAACACACGCCACCCCCACGCATTTTGCCGGCGGGGCAAACACAAAGCCTCGCGGGAGGCGGGGCTCGTGACGTCATGGAGAGCCCGCCCCCTTACGTCGCGCACTGGAGAGGCTAGGTTTCTGGGTGCGCGGGCGCCATTTTGCCGGAGCCTGCGACCGAGTGGGAGTGGAGTGGAGCGGCGGTTGTTGCCGACTCTTTCCTCCTCCCTACGGTCCAGTCAGCGGGTTGATCAGGCCATTGGCCCTCAAGCCGAGACTTGTCTCTTATTTAGTTCTGGGGAGCGTCTGGCCGACATGAGTGATGTAGAGGAGAACAACTTCGAGGGCAGAGTGAGTACAAAGCCGCGGGAGCCGTCTTCGGCGGCGGCCCGATGCTCGGGGTTTTACCGGGACTAGCGCGGTCGGGCCGGGTTGCGAGGAGTCCTGCGGGGAGCAATCTCTGGAGCCATCGCGAGTGATTTCTCACATCCCAAGATGGCTTCTGAGTCCACTCCTTCCCCAAACACTACAATTACCTCCCTCCCCCCTTTTTTGGAGACTGACTGGTACCTGGACTCCTGTCCTATCCCCACCTCTTCATTGCACCCTCCCTTCTCCCCGCCCCGAGGCTTGCTTACTTCTTTCTGAGGTGGGTCCCCGTCGCGGTGGGGTGGGAGGCGGCGGCAGGGAGTTCCCCACCCCGGCCGGATAGTGGTAGGTGCTTCCTGCGGTAGCATATCTGGAGACTCCCGAGCATCGTAGAGGGTCTCGGGGTCGAAAGTGCGCGGGGCTGTTGTCCGGGCGGGGAGTAGCTGGCGTGGGACTAGCTGGGGCCTGTGTCTCCTTGGCTCTCTATTGCAGTGAGCGGCCGCGTCTCTGTTGGAACCGGCGGCGTTGCGTCTATAAAGGCGAAAGCCTTGAGGTTGAAGGTGGGACGAGCCTAATGAAGTGGTTAGTCAACGACTGCACCGACCCTTAAGCGTTCTTAAGACGAGAGCTGTGAGGGGAAAACTACGCAAGGAGCCCTTTTCCCTTAATGTCCCTTTTAAACTTTGCTTTCACTTCAAAATTAATGTGGAAATGCTATAACGACTTATTTTTTCTAATTCCTTGATGTTGGATTTTTTTTTTTCTCTTTATATCTCAGCTTCTAATGCTTTTCTTCCTTTGACCTTTCATCTAAAAATTGACCACTCCTTTGCAGGTTTTTATGGTAAAAAAAAAAAATTAAGAAGGAATCTTCTGCCTTTCTTTAATCTTACATAACGAATTTCTGGCTCAGTATTTTAAAAATAACTAGTCAGTTTATACTGTTCTCTTACTCAAAAGGTTACCTGAAAATTACAGGCCCACTTCACATTTCTCTTCTCACCTCTCCCCCAGGAAGAGAGGGCACAGAAGAAGGTTTTAATTATTTGGGATCGGATGAATATAAACATCACAAAGAATGCATTATCCTTAACTTAGGATAAGTGCTAGAACGTTGAGTTTTATTTCAGAAGTTATTGAAGTAGGGGAAATTGTTGGAAGTGAGTTAATTGAAATCTGAAAACAAAAGCCCAGGCAACACGTTTCTGCTGTTGTGTTGGTATTTATTCTAGTCACTAGGGGAACCATTTAAAAAAAAAAAAAAAAAAAACTTGAGGGCTGTGCTGGATAGAATGAATTCGTCCTTTCTGTGGAAGTTTAGTATAGAAACACCTGCAATCGGTCAAATCAAAGCTGATTAAGAGATTTAAAGCAATAGGGTAGAAACAAAGCTACATTTGAGATTAGATTTTTTTTAATGATATTTGGAGCATGGATATAATTGAACCTGCTCATTGTTTAGGGTGATAGATTTAGTGTCTCATAAGAAATGCTTAAGATCATGCAATAAAAATATTGGTAGTAGTTGTGTTTCTTGTTTGAAAATGTTCATATATGGAAAATAAATTTTATTGTCCATCTTCCTTTCAATTAACTTTAACAAAAAGTTTTTAATGCTTGTTTTAATTTGGTTTGTGGAATGTGGGCTACTAATGGGACCTTGATTTTTTTAGTTCTTTTTAATATGTCATCTAGTGGAGGAAACTAAGTTCTACTGTCATGTTACCCACCTATAAAAGTAACATGGGCTGATATTAACATTTATTTAATGGAAAGAGTAGGTTTGCTTTCCCCCCTCCCTTCTTGGCTATTTTTGGTTATAAAAAGTATTTTTGCCCTCCTCAGGGCACAGTGACACATGTATGTAAACCCAGCAACTTAGGAAGCTGAGGCAGGAGGAGTTTCTAGTTCAAAGCCAACTTTTAGAAATTTAGCAAGACCCTGTCTCAAAGTAACAAGTGAATAGAGCTGGGTATGTAGTTCAGTGGTAAAAGTACCCTGGGTTCAATCCCTAGTACCAAAAAAAAAAAAAAAAAGTTTTTTCCACAAGTGTAGTTTATTGTAAATTAAATTAGTAGATTGAATAATTTTCATGTTCACCTGTTACGTCTTTTTACATTTTGTTTTTTGAGCTTTTTAGGTTGAGGTGATTTATATGTAATTGGTTGAAGAATTAGAAGAATGGGCTGGGTGGTGATACGTGTCCGGTGACTTGGGAGGCTAAGGCAGGAGGATCCCAAGGTCCAGGCCAGCCTTAGCAACTTGGCAAATCCATATCTCAAATACTACTACTACTACTACTACTACACATAATAATAGAAGAATGCTAGAAGTTTTTCTGGAGGATTACTCCTCCCCCCCCCAACAGCAGTTTGCCATTCATAAGTGAATTTGATTTTTTTTTTTTTAACTAAGTGACCTTTTTCGGCTGACTATAAACCAGCAGTTTAAATTTTATATATAATAAACTGCTGTGTCCTTGTGTTTGCAGCTAAAGATGTGTAAAGGTAACAGCACCCTGGCCTAGAAAATAATTTTTAAGTGAGGAGCCAGGCATGGTGGCACACAACTGTAATCCCAGCAGCTCAGGAAGCTGAGGCAGGAGGTTCTCAAGTTCAAAGCCAGCTTCAGCAAAAGTGAGGTGCTAAGCAACTCAGTAAGACCCTGTCTCTAAATAAAATGCAAAATAGGGCCAGGGGTGTGACTCAATGGTGAACTGCCTCTGAGTTCAATCCTGGTATCAAAAAAAAAAAAAGAATTTTTAAGTGAGGTGTGTAAGTAGTTGTCATCCTTTAAAAAAAATTTTTTTTAAACCATATTAGTAAAAACATTGAAAGGTCAGTATTCACATTTTAGGGTTATCAGAGGTGTTTGTGGAGATCATGAGTCAAATTTGAATTAATGTTTTTCTCTCTGTAGGAGTTTTTAGCACTAATAAAGTGCATTTTCATTTAGTTTACCAACAGTGTATAGGATACATATTAATTCTCAGTAAAAAGATGTTTAGAATTAAATGGAAACTTTCTAGATAGTTAGGTTCTAGCAAACATACTGGGGAAGTAGGACCGAAACTAGTGTAGCTTACTTTTTTTTGTGGCATTTTAGAATTTACCAGCCCCAAAATCTTTAATGCGTTTTCTGTGTTTTACTGCTCATGATAAACTTGCAAGGACTGGAGTAGTGTTAGCATTTTAGAAATATAAAACTCATAGCTGGGTGCATAGCTCAGTGGTAGAGCGCTTGCCTCACACTTGTAAGGTACTCAGCACCACATAAAAAATAAATAAGTAAAATAAATAAAGATATTGTGTCCATCTTTAAAAAAAAGAGAGAGACCCAAAAGACTGCAGTCAGGAATCTGAGATAAGTACTAGTCCACTATTCATATAAACACATTATGCTGTATGTATTTTGGTTAACATTTGTGAAGAACACAGTATGCTTCAGCGTCTCAGAGCCATTAATGGAGTTTGCCAAAAGCAGTTACTACAGCTTAATTTTCCACTTTAAATTAATGTTTCTTCCATTTTAAAGAATACAGTTAAGGAATTTTAGGGAGGAATTCCATTTTAAGTAATCCAAGGTAAAACTTGTTTAGAGCATCTGCTGCCTTTCTAATTAGGGCTAGCTAGGTGTTCTTGAGGGAAAGTAAACTTGAAGTCTAATTTGAGATGACTGACCATCCAAATCTGGGTAAAAGTAAGTGGTGTCTGATAGAATTAATAAGGAATTCAGAAAAGGAGTCAAGAAATGGGAAAGATTTACTTTGAGATATAAAACTTCCATTAGGTCTAAAGATTAGAGAAATTATTATTGATTATATAGGTATGCTAATGGAGAGATTGTGCTAAGATAGTGAAAAAATAGATTTGAATAAATATGCAATCAAAAAGGTCCCTAAAGGAATTTGCTTGTGACATGAAATTTAAGTTAATATTTAAGTGGAAATGTCCTTTGGAGTTGGGTATAAGATTGGCAATTAAGCTGTGGTTTAAAGACTCCTAGAGCCCCCCCACAGCCACCTTTTCAAAACTCAACTATACTGACATTCTGGTATAGTTAACAACATAGTTGCATGAATTAGTTTGAGAATACCAGCTAGCTATTGGCTCCTGTTCTCCCAGCAGCATAGCACTTGACCACGGTACAAGACGATCTAGGCAGCTCTCTACAGCTGGAGTGGGAGTGGGAACAATCCCTTATATCTCATCACATTGACTTGTTGCAAAAGGGTAAAGTTTCCTTCCTTGTAATATGGTAGTATTATTAAACAGTTTTATGTCTTGGGTTTATTTTTATAAAGTTAAGTACCATCATTTATCCAATGATAAGTTCTTTTATGCTTTAATTCTTTTTTATTGTTTTCTCCCCTCGCTCTCATTTAAGCAAAGATTTTGCAAACTTGAAAAAGACCTTACAAAGTTCAAATTTTTACATTTGAAATTCTTTCACCGAAAGGTGCTAACTTGCCCAATATAAGTAAAAGGCAGGATTTTGTAAAGGAGCAGTGCAAGAGATTTAACCCACGGTTCATAACTAATTTTTACAGTTATGCCATAGATTGTCTTATTCCTAAATGAGAATAGAGAGCCTTGATATTGAAAGAATATCAAGGGATTTAATATTTAGGAATGAGTCTTTAAAAAAAAAAAAAGACAAACTTTGTGGACGTAAATGAACCATACTTATTTACCTGTGGTATCCTAAAGTGTGAAATGGCATGAATATCAGCATTGGGTTTTTCTAAAATCTGCCTGACTGAAAACCTTTGATATTGATATTATCAGTGGGTACTCAGAAACCCAATAACTAGCCCTGAGGCCTTTGTAAAACATGCATATTCCCATATTAAGTGAATTAATATTGATTGTTATTTGTTCATATGTTCTAACAGAAGATTTAGCTGGGCAGAAGTGGAAGTAAGACAGTGGTAATAGTCAGATGAGGAAGAAAGAAATGCTGTAGAAAAGTTGAGAAAAGAATAATGAAAGGAAATGCAGTTCCTCTTCCCTCCTTTTAAGTTACTAATATATATAGTTGTATATAATCCTTATTTTGTTGATATTCACCCAAAATATGAGTGACTAGAACTGATGTGAAAAGAAAAGTTAGCTTTTCCTTGAACTCAGGGCCCAGTCATCTCACTTATTCAAGATTCATAAATACTCCATGATACCAGAAGATGAGAGCATAAGTAGAGAATATTGTAACAGGTTCTTAGTAGTTTCGTTTTAGTTGCTATTTATTGGCTTTTTTTAATATAGCAAAATCACTTTAGTCCATATAAGTTTTTCTCTACCTTTGAAATTGTCACTTATACATCAGCTTTTAAAAATTACAGTTTATTGTGAAAATTTAGGAGATTTTATGAGCTTTATTTAAGATTTGTACAGAATTTTATAAGAAAATTCACAATTGTGGCATGAGTTTTATAAATGGCAATTACTAAATTATTTATGATAAAATATTCCCCAAATTATTCCAAACTTTTGAGA